GTTTCCCTACTGGACTCTTTGGGGAACCTTGCATCCGAGGGCTCCCCTTCTCTGTAGGAAGCCCCGCGTCTGAGTGCCCTTTTTCTGGGGCACCTTTTATTTGAGGGTACCCTTCCTTTAGGGGACTTAGTGTCTGAAGGTGCCCTTTCTCCGGAGGATCTCGCCTCTGAGGGCGGTCCGTCTCTGGAGAGCCCGTCTCTTTCCGAAGAGTACTCTAGAAAGGGGACTCCCGTGTCTCCCAGTGTACTCTTTCTAGGGGACGCTGCCCCTCTGAAGGGAACACCACCTTTTTCAGCTCCTTAACTTTTCTGAGGATCTAACCTGAGGGACCCTTGTTTAGCCACCCGCCCCGCACGCGCCTGTGAGCCCCTACCTGTGACGGAGAGCCCCTGTTTTCGTTAACTCTCAACTCTCAGGGAGTCTCTCTGAGACATCTACCTTATTGAGAGAAACCCCAACTCAGTCCTTCCGGGTTCCCGAGGGGAGCCCCCATCCCATCTCTGAGATTCTTATCTGACTGTCCTGCCTCCTTGAGGGTATGCAGTCATTCTCTGAGGGACCCCACTCTTTCGAGAGTCTGGCCTCCGTCCCCTGCTTCTGTAAAAGGTGGCTTTTTGTCTGATGAGCGCCCCCTCCCTTCCTTTCTGGGATTCTTGCCTCCCTCAGGAAGGTTCCACTTCCCTTAGGAGACACTTCTGTCTGAGGGCCTTTCTTCTACGGAGGATGTTTCTGAGATCACTCTGCCTCTCGTCGAACCCCCTCCCACAATTTTCTGAGGAAGTCGTTTCACTGCGCTGTTGTCCCTTTTTGTTTGTTTGTTTCAAGACAGGGTTTCTCTGTGTGGCCTTGGATGTCCTGTCCTGGAGCTCTGTCAACCAGGATGGCCTAGAACACAAAGATCCAGCAGCCTCTGCCTCCCAAGTGCTGGGATTAAAGTCATACGCCACCATGCGGGGCCTGCTGTTTCATTTTTTGATAGATTCCTTCTGTGAAATGCTCTCCCTGCTTTTCTGTCCCGACTTTGAGTGACTTCTTTCTTTTTTCAAGTTTCCCCGAATAAACAGAAGTGCTCCTTAAAGGTTTTAAAATTTCCCCCCCCCCCCCCCCCCCCCCCAGGGTTTCTCTGTGTAATTTTGGAGCCTGTCCTGGAGCTTACTCTGTAGACCAGGCTGACCTGGAACTCACAGAGATCTGCTTGCCTTTGCCGTCTGAGTACAGGGATTAATGACATGTACCCCCCATTTTTATTTTTAGTTTTTTTTTTTTTTTTACTCAGTCTTGTTACATTGTAGCCTAGGTTGTTATTGAATACCCAGCACACAGGATGCAGAGGCAAGCGGTTCTCTGAATTTGAGGCCAGCCTGGTCTACAGAGCGAGTTCCAGGACACCTAGGGCCACACAAAGAAACCCTGCCTCAAAAATACCAAAAAAATAAATCAATTAATAAAAGATTTTTCCATCTTAGCCAATTAAGCAAGTCCTGGGATCTCAAGCTGTGTGCCACCATGCAGGCATATTCTTTTTTCTCATTTTTCTGTGTGATCTCTGTGCTTCCCTCTCCCCCTCTTTGCTTTTTTTTTTTTTTTTTTTTTTTTTAAATTTCTCTCTGAGACAGGGTTTCTCTGTAGACCAGGCGGGCCTTGAACTCAAGAGATACGACTGCCACTGCCTCCTGAGAGCTAGGATTACAGGCATGTGCCACCACCTGGCCCTTCTTTCTTTGTATAGGCTGGTCTGGAGCTCACTCTGCACCCATGGTAACAACAAATTCATGGCCATGTTTCTGCCTCAGCCTCACGAATGATGTCATTATAGATATAAGACACTATGCGTGGCCTTTGTCCCTACCTTAGCTGTGTATTCCTTTCCTTAATGTTCAGGTTTTTCTGACTTTTATCCCTATCCCTTCTCTGGGGGCTGAAAAATCACCTTGGAGCGTTTTACAAATAAATCTGGACTTTTAACTTTTAATTCAGTTTGATTTGGATTACTGAGTTGAAAGAGAGGCTTGATATCGGGTTATAGAAACCTTTCACTTATGGATGAAATGAATGGATTTCTCATTTTCCCGAGGGGTCTTGCAGTATAGCAGTTCCTTACCTCTTACTTGAGATTTTTCCCTTCTTGAGATTTTCTTCCTTGATTTCTGTGGGAGAGACTTATCATTTAACCTTGGAGCTATCATCTTCAAGATTCCCTTATTTATGTGGTGTATCCAAATCTCTATTGTGAAGGGAAAGACTTAGAAATTTTTACTTTGTTTAGTTTAGTTTTCTTTCTTACCAGTCCTTGGTTTTCTTTTTTCTTTCTTTTTTTTTTTTTTTTTTTTTTTTTTTTTTTTTTTTGAGACAGGGTTTCTCTGTGTAGCTTTGGAGCCTTTCCTGGCACTCGCTCTGGAGATTAGGCTGGTAATCTCTAATTCAGAGATCTGCCTGCCTCTGCCTCCCGAGTGCTGGGATTAAAGGCGTGCACCACCAATGCCCGGCTCCTTGGGTTTCTTAGTCATCATTGTACTTTATTTTTTAGACAGGGTCTCTCATTGTGTAGCCCAGGCTGCCTTCAAACTCCCCATGTATGTAGTAGCCTAGGATGTCCTTAAATCCTCTTGCTTAGGCTTCCAGAGTGTTGGACTTTTTCATGACTTTTATCTCAGTTTTCAGAGGACTGAAACTTTTGTGGTTAGAGGGAAAGTTAGGGAACCTATATGCAAAAACAAAAACAAAAACAAAAGCCCACAAAAAACAAAACCCAGAAAGCCCAACCCATCATGTTTTAAGTCATGAAACTGGAGGGCCTATTTTATTTTTACTTTTTTTTTTTTTTTTTTTTTTTTTTTTTTTTTTTTTCTTTTGAGACAAGGTCTCTATTATGTTTTCTTGACTGGCCTGGAACTCAGAGACCTGCCTGCCTCTGACTCTCAGGTACTGAGATTAAATTCATGGGACACCAGGCCTGCCTCTTGAGACAGGGTCTTGTCATTTGTGCAGTCTGACCTCACACTTTTGCCTCAGCCTCTTAGGTGCTGGAATCACAGGTGTGCTGCAGCACATGCTGCTCTGGTTACTAATTTTCCTGACCTCATAGGCCAGTGTCAGAAGACTGTGGGCACTGGGAGACAAGGCAGAAACAATGTCTCCCTATTATCACAAGGTCAAGCCTATGGGATGAACCCACTTCCTGTCCTGTTCTTCAGTCCTTCCTGAGAAAAGAGAAGGGCTAGCTCCTTTGCTCTCTCAGGGCTTCCTGCTGCCTTGAGTTCTCTGATTCACCCCTTGATCAAAAGAGGAGACCCAAGTTGTGGCCTTGGTATGAAAGGACAAAAGCAGGAAATGGGTCAAAGGGCGAAAGGGACAGAGGACTTAACTACATTTCTGTAAGTTTTAGGACTATGGTGTGGCCCAAAGGAAGGTCTTCCATGGTGTTTACAAATCTCCTATGTACTTTTTTAGTGGCCCACCCTAGATTCCGAGTTCACTGCAGTAGCTAATTTTATCTGCTTTGCCAAAGGTAGAGCTCTCAGGAGCCTAAGGAGATGAATGCTGGCATTGAGAGATGGTCCACAGGACAGAAATGAACTCAGCTTGAAATCTGAGTAAGTTCTAACTGCTTCAAGGCCACGGGCTGGTTTTCAGGCTGGGAACCCAGAGAACTGGCCTGAGCAGAGCACTGACGGGGGTGAGCCCCTTGGTTTAGCATTTCAATAATTTGTAAACTTCTAACTCAGCTCAGCCTGTACTTCTCTTTCTAAGTTTGACTTAATGCTGTCTCTCTCCTTTCCTTTCCATCCGGGTCTTGCTTAATTGGAGTTCTTTGTGAAGACTTCTGCTGAGGCTATAATTTGAGTTCTAAATCTGTTGGTAGACCATGTGGACACAAGTTTCAACTCGAGCTATTTTCTTCTGTGGAGAAGCACTTGAAGAGTTAGTTTCCTGGGTCCTCAGCTCCTGGGTTAGTCAAGTCCAGGCAGGAGGCTGCTGCAGACCCATTGCCTTTACACTGCTTCTTGCTGATCATCTGTAGGAACCACCCTCAGTTAAAGGTGGTGAGGAGTTTGGGATGAGATGATCTGTATATATTTATCATTTGAAAGGAACTCCAGCTCAGAGTATTAAAATAGGTAACTGGAAGGCGAGGTGGTGGTGCTCCCAGCACTCAGGAGGCAGAAGCAGGTGGATCTCTGTGAGTTTGAAAAAAAAAAAAAAAAAAAAAAAAGAGAGGTAACTGGTGACTTTGAAGTGAGAATTGTTTCTTGTTTCCTTTGTTACTGTAACAGAATGACTGAGTCAGGCTACTTTATAAAGAAAGAGGTTTATTGAGTCTTGAGATGGCATAGAATGTTACATGGCAAGAGAAAGACAAGGAGCAGGTTGTTGGTGTGTGTATAACTGTACATATGCACACATGCACTCTTTCATTATTTATTCATTCCTTCATCTACTTATTTATTTATTCAAGATAGAGTTTCTCTGTATAGCCCTGGGTGTCCTGGAACTTGTTCTGTAGAAGATGCTTAAAGGCGGGGGATTAAGGAGTTCACCAGACCCTAGATAAAGATAAATAGGTGTTTTATTGAGGAACAACTTACACAGATAAGAGTAAATAACCATCTCGGTGTTCCTGCTCCAGAAGATGCAATCTCTGCCCTTCCCATCCTCTCCCCGACTCAAGAGAGCTAGTGCCAGCAGCTACCTTAAAGCAATCATTGTACCTGAAACCACGCCTAAAGGGCTACTTCTTCAAGTTCACTGGCAAGATGCCACTACAGGGGCTGACCTCAAACTCAGAGATCTGCCTGCCTCTGCTTCCTGAATCCCGGGATTAAAGTTATGTGCCACACTTAGCTAGCTAGCTTGCTTGCTTTCTTTCTTTCTTTCTTTCTTTCTTTCTTTCTTTCTTTCTTTCTTAATATTTTATGTTTTTGTGTGCCGTATGTGTGTATGAACTGGAGGATATCAGAAGAGGGAGTTGGATCCTCTGGAACTATGGGCACTGGGAAATTAACCTGGGTTCTATGCAAGAACAGTAAGGGCGCCAGCGTTGGTGGCACACGCCTCTAATCCCAGCACTCGGGAGGCAGAGGCAGGCAGATCTCTGTGAGTTCGAGGCCAGCCTGGTCTCCAGAGCGAGTGCCAGGATAGGCTCCAAAATTACACAGAAAAACTGTCTCAAAAAACAAAACAAAACAAAACAAAAAAGTTTCCAGATTTAACCAAGGGGGCTCTTCACCCTAAGTCACTCTCCATATTGTTGAATAGACCCAGGCTCTCGTGAACAATAAGCAAGTACTTTTGCTATTGAACTGCACTGAGCTGTATCTCCAGTCTTTAAATATAATTTATGCATTTTAATTTTATGTGTGTGGGTGTTTGCATGTAAGTCTGTATATCTCATTCATACAGTGTCAAAAGAGGGTGTTGAATTCCTGGAACTGGAATTATAGGTGGTTGTGAGCTACTTTGTGTTCTGGGAATTGAACCTGGGTCCTATAGAAGAGCAGTCAGTGTTCTTAACTACTGAGCCATCTCTCTAACCCGTCTCCCCCAATTTTTTGTCTTCATTGTGAGAACATCTTGATAAGTTGCCTAGGCTGGGCTTAAACTCACTGTAGCTCAGGAAGGCCTTGATCTTGAATCCTTTTGTCTCAGCTTCCTAATCAACTGATATTATAGGTTGTACCACTAAGCCCATGCCAAAGGACTCATGTTTTAACAGCATGTAGCCTGGTTATTTCTATTCTCTTTTTTTGGGGGGAAGGACATGGTTGAGACAAGGTCTCATGTAGCTTCTGGAGTCATACTTGCTATGTGACCAAGACTGTCTCCAAACTGCTGGTCCTCTTGTCCCGTTCTCCCCCCCCCCCCACACACACACTGCTTGATGGCTGACTGCCACACGCTTGGCTGTAACCTAGTGATAGCACAGGTGTGATTTCTGCAGACACTGAAACCACACCCACACATAGCAGGGATAGCACCTTTTTCCTGGAGGCCCCCCTCCCCTTTTTCAACATTATGTGAGTGATGTTTTTGCCGTGGTATCAGGTCCCTTGGAACTAATAGTTACAGACAGTTGTGAGCTGCCATGTGGGTGCTGGGAGTTGAACCTGGGTCGTTTGGAAGAGCAGTCTGTGCTCTTAACTGTTGAGTGATCTCTACAGCCCCTCTTTTTCTTTTTTTTTTTTTTAAGATTTTATTTTTATGTATACAACATTCTGCTTCCATATATATATATATATATATATGATATATATATATATATATATATATCATATATATATATGAATGAATGAAAAGGGCACCAGATCTCATAACGGATGGTTGTGAGCCACCATGTGGTTGCTGGGAATTGAACTCAGGATCTCTGGAAGAGCAGTCAGTGCTCTTAACCTCTGAGCCATCTCTCCAGCCCCAGAGCCCCTCTTTTTTTTTAATAATTTATTTTTATTTTATTTATCTGCATGTATGTCTGTGTGGGGGTGTCAGATCTTGGAGTTACAGTTTTGAGCTGCCATGTGGGTGCTGGAAATTGAACTTGGGTCCCCTTGAAGACCTCAGTGCCTTTTCGTTGTTGTTTTGGTTTTTGTTTGTTTGGCTTTTTTGAGACGGGGTTTCTCTGTGTAGCTCTGGCTGTCCTGGAACTCACTGTGTAGACCAGGCTGGTCTCTAACTCAGAGATTCACCTGCCTCTGCCTCCCAAGTGCTGGGATTAATTTGTGCCACCACTGCCTGGCTTCCTTTTTCATTCTTAAAGATTTTTTTCCCCTAGATGGGTGGCTTACCAAGTTATAGCACAAAAGCAGCATATTACTAAATGTTGGAGTGCACTGCTATGAAGGTGAGGACTCCTGCTGCCAGGAGGTGCTCAGAAACTTTAGGGAGTAAGTGAACCAGAGGTGATGGACTAGATGGTCAGCACAGGCTGTGTATGATGCTTATGAGGCCAGGGCCCCGGCCTGGACTCTTAGACCACAAGGGGGCTTGATATTCTGCCAAGGTTAAATATCCTCAGAGAGAAACAAGTGTTGGAAGTTTTTCAGTTTTCCCGTGTCCGTTACCAGATGTGAGAAAGATTTGCTATGTGGCAGGCACTTGTATTTGCCTTGGCCTTAGCATCTTCCTCTGTTAAATGGGGTAATTTGTGAGTGAAGGCAAGTAGAGAGATGATGACTAATTAGCCTGGAGGCAAAATAGAAGATGATAATGAACTTGAAGAATTGTGGGAAGCCAAAAAGTAGGTGAGCTGCAATCTTAAAGGGTCCTGTCCACATTTTGAAGCAGTGTAGGATGTGGAACAGTTATGTGGGAGCTTCAGAACCTTGAAAATTGAACCTTTTTTTCATGGTAATGGATCAGATTTGGAAACATAGGACTGGGAAAGTGTCAAACAGAGGCATTTGACTACAATAAAGGTACTTTGAGAAGACCAGCGTGTGGCTTTAGTGCCCATGGTGAGATCAGGGCTCACCTGAGCTCTGGGACCTAGGTCTAGAGAGTTGTGAAGATGCTGCCTCAGTTTCTGAGGCTGAGAGGAGTCTGGAGTAAGGTGGATTGAGAATGAGGAGACAAGACACTTTCACCCCCAACCCCACTGCGTCCCTCATTTTGGGGTAGGTTTTTCTATTCAGCTGTGGCTGTATTCACTATGTAGTCCAGACTGGCCTCAGCCTCATGATCCTCTTAGGAACCTCCTGCTTCCTCTAAGGACTGTGATTACAGGCATGTGCCTCCATGCCCACATAGAATACTCTCATTTTTTAGTAGTTTTTTTTTTCCTAGTAATTAGTGAAAGCCCTATAATCACGGTGGGTGAATAGTGTGGCAACAGATGGATAAAACCCAGGGGGTAAATAATAGGTGAAAATCTGGGCCAGGCCCTCCCATGTCAGAAAAAGGTCAGAGTCTTTTATTGCCCTGGCTGGCTTTAAACTGCACACCTAGCCCAGAATGGCCTGCATCACTGCCTGTACTTCCTTAGAGCTGGGATTATAGAATGTGTACCAGTGTGTTTAGTAACTCTGTCAGTTATGTATTTATTTATTTATTTATTTATTTATTTATGGCAGTGTCTCACATAAAATTAGAATTGTCTGTCTGTCATCTATGTAGGCCGGGTATAACATTTACAATACCCTGTGTCTGCGTCCCAATGTAGGAATTAAAAGCTTTGCTACCATGCCCACCAATCTTAAACTTTGAAATAGTTTTTGATTTGTATGGGTGCATGCACCCATACAAAATTAATTAATTAATTAATTTTGAGGCAGGGTTCCTCACTGGTCATAGTAGGGTAGGCTTGGTTGGCCAGAGAGCTCCAGGGAGTGTTAGGCTTACAGGTCGTCACCATGCCTGGCATTTCTACCTGGCTTATGGGATATGTTTACCAGGCATGCAGGTTGTGTTTTGAGACAGGGACTTACTGTGTCACCCAGGTTGCAATCAAATGTGGCAATTCTGCTTTAGCCTTCCTAGTGCTGGATTATAGCATGAACCACTATGCAAGCTAGTACTTATTTGTTTATTTGGATTTTTGAGCCAGGATTTCTCTGTATAGCCCTGACTGTCCTGGAACTAGTTCTATAGATGAGTTGGTCTTGATCTCACAAAATGCCTCTAAAGGCATCTGCCATCACTACCTGGCATTTTATTTTTTTATTTTTAATTTTTTTATTTTGTTTTTGGTTTTCCAAGACAGGGTTTCTCTGTGTAGCTTTGGAGCCTATCCTGGTACTTGCTGCAGGCCGGCCTCGAACTCACAGAGACCCGCCTGCCTCTGCCTCCCGAGTACTGGGATTAAAGGTGTTCACCACCAACGCCCGGCCTGGCTTTTTATTTATTTAATTAAAAATTTACATTTATGTATGTGTGTATGCATCTGTCTATGTAAAATAATAAACTTAAGGAATTCACTCCCCATGAAATTCCGTTGTCTCTAGAACCACAGAAGTTGCTGGTAGATGGTGGCACCTCTACCATGTCTGTTTATCTAACAGGAAAATCTTTGAACTTTTTTTTTTTAACATTTGAAGGACCTTTACAGCAATAAAAAGCCTTTTGTAGTTAGAAACAGTATTGATCTAGGTACATTAATCCAGCATAATGTAATGTGGTTATCAGTTGGTGGGTATCGTTGAAAGGCACGTGGGCCTGAACACTGTCCCGGCAAGGAAGTGTTGATTTATGTAACTGAAATAACCAGGGAAGTCAGGGTTTCCTTCCTGTTGGAAACAGCACTGGGGCATTGGGTCCTTTTTGGTCCCTGTGAGATGTTGAGGATAAGAAATAAGCAGACTGTTTGTGAACTGGGAAATAACTACTGCACAGGGTGGTTCCATCTAAATGAATGGAAGTGTTATTTGTATGCCCAGTGCTCTGGTTTGCTTCTGTTTGCAACCCCACCCTTTGTTGTACTGTATATCTGTTGATGACTGGATAAGCTCTTGTAAACTGCCCTTTAAAGGGTACATGAGTACTTCAGGAAGAGTTCTAGTCAGGCACATGGTGAACACCAATAATCCCAGCATTTAGGAGGGTGAGGCAGGGGGTTGTAAGTTTCAGTCCAGCCTAGGCAACATAATGAAACTTCACTCCCTATTCCCTCACAAAAAAGAGTTCTACTTATGGCAGCTTACTTGTGTGCCTATCAGTAAGGTGGTTTTATTTATTTATTTAATTTACATCCATTTATTTATGCTAGAAGGGCATGTGGTCAGAGGACAACTTTTCCAGTGGCTTCTCTTCTTCTATCATGTGGGTCCCAGGGATTAACTTTAGGTTGTAAAGTGATTAAAGTGTTTTTATATTATTGAGGTTCTGGGGATGAGAACCTAGGCTCTCTGTCTCATTAGGCAAGCACTCTTACTATTTATTTGGAGGGGGGCAGGTTTTGAGACAGGGTTTCTCTGTGGCTTTGGAGACTATACTGGAACTAATTCTTGTAGACCAGGCTGATCTCAAACTCACAGAGATCTTCCTGCCTCAGCCTTCCGAGTGCTGGGATTAAAGGCGTGCGCCGGCACACTCTTACTATTGAACTACATTGACAGCACCATTTAAAATATTATATTGCTGGGCATTGCTGGTGCACGCCTTTAATTCCAGCACTTGGGAGGCAGAGGCAGGTGGATCTCTGAGTTCGAGGCCACCCTGGTCTACAGAGAGAGTTCCAGGACAGGCTCCAAAGCAATACAGAGAAACCCTGTCTCAAAAAACAAAAACAAATTATTATATTGATTGATTGGTTGTTTGGTTGATACCGAGTCTTATTGTATAGCTTTAGTTGGCTTCTGCTTCTGGAGTGATATATGCTGTTGGTTGTGGTACCTCGAGCACGCCTTTAATCACAGCCCTCAGGAGGCAAAGGCAGACAGATCTCTTGAATTGAGTCCCGCCTGGTCTGCAGAATGAGTTCCAGGATAGACATGACTGAAGAGAGAGACACCCTCCCCACCTCCCACCCCACCACCTCCTGTCTATTGGTAGTAGTAATAGTAGTATTGTGGTCCTGGGGGTCAAATTTTTGCTTTGTGAATGTTTATTTAAATAAATTTTATGTGCATGGGTTGTATTAATTAGTGTTTTCCAGAGTAACAGAACTTAAAGAATGAATCTATGTATAGGGAGAGGATTTATTGAAGGATTTACAGGCTGCAGTCCAGGTAATCAACAGATTACCTGGCAGGCTGTGAACAGAAAGAATCCAGTAGTTGTTCAGTCTACAAGGCTGGAGGTCTCTGCTGGTCTTCAGTATATACTGGAGTCTTGAAGCAGTAGGTTACAATGCCAGGGAAGGAATGGATATGCTAGCAAGTTGAGGGCAAGCAGACAAAAACCAAAAGTTTCCTTCTTCTATGTCCTATTAGACTTCAGCAGAAGTTGTGGCCAGATTAAAGGTGTGTTTTCCTGCCTCAAGAACCACATCAAAAGTTTGGACTGGAAGTGGATTCGCCTACTTCAAACCAAGCAAAAATGTTTCTCACAGGTGTGCCCTCCATTTCTGGATTGTAGTTCATTCCAGATGCAGTCAAGTTGACAATCAAAACATTACATTGGTTGTTTGACTTATATGCATGTCTCTGTACCACATGTGTCCTGGTGCCCAAGAAGGTCAGAAGAGGGCTTAGGATCCCTTAATTGAGTTACAGATGGTTGTGCACTGCTGTGTGGGTTCTAGAAATTGAATCCAGGCTTCTGTAAGAGTAGCCAGTGCTCATAAACATTGGGCCATCAACCCAGCCCCATGAATGCCTTAAAGTTTTTTACATTTGTTTATTTGTTTGTATATGTGTAATGGCTGTTTAGTGCATACCTTGGCATGTGTGTGAAGGTCAGAAGGTGACTTTCAAAAGACAGTCCTTTTCTGCCATGTGGGTCTGGGGACTGAGCTCAGACCGTCAGGCTTGGCAGCAAGTGTCTTTACTCATTGAGCCATCTTGCCATCCTTCCTGCCTTTAAAAAAATAACTTAGGGAGGGCAGAGGTGGCACACACCTTTAATCCCAGTACTAGGAAGCTGGGGTAGGCTGATCTTGGAGGTAGAGGCCAGCCTGCTCTAGCAAGGGAGTTCCAGGACAGCCAGGGCTGCACAGAGAAACCCTGTCTCAGAAAACCAAGAGAGAGAGAGAGAGAGAGAGAGAGAGAGAGAGAGAGAGAGAGAGAGAGAGAGAGAGAGAGAGAGAGAGAGAAAGAGAGAGAGAGAGAGAGAAACACTTTAGGACTGAGGATGTAATTCAATTGGTAGAATACTACAGAGTGTGCACAAAGCCCTAGAGTCAGTACTCAGTATGATCAATGCAGGAGAATTAGTGGTTATTGGCTACATAGGAAGTTTGATACATGAGATACACAAGCCTGGAAGACCTTGTAACTTTTTAAAAATTTAAACCAGCACTCGGGAGGCAGAGGCAGGTGGATCTCTGTGAGCTCTAGACCAGCCTGATCTACAAGAGCTAGTTCCAGGACAGCCTCCAAAGCTACAGAGAAACCCTGTCTTGAAAAACAAAACAAAACAAAACAAAACAAAACCCCACAAAACAACAGAAAAAATTGAAGTGTGAAGTTACCTGGTTGATGTAATTTCCCATTTGAGCAGAAAACAGTGTTCGCCTGTCTGGAGTGAGTCCTGGGTGTCACTGGTGCCGTGAGCTGCAGACAAGGAAACAAGCGTGACCGCCATGGGCTTTCTTGGTGGACACCCCTTGGGCAGCAGCCAGTCTCATTGGGAGCCTTGGTGTCTTTCTGGAAGCTTTCAAAATGAAACTTCACCACTCATCTAACTTCCTCACCTAGATTCTGTTTCCTTCCTAGAGACAGAGACCAGGAGCTCTGTGGCATTTGTGAGGTTTATGATGGCTGTTGGCAGTACTTGATCCATGGCAACCAGGAGCAGAATGCTCAGCTTTTAGTCTCTGGGAACCATCATGCTGTGCTTTTCTGGAGTCCTGTGGCATTCCTTTATGGCAGAGGTGTTACACAGAAGGTAACAGCTAGCAAAACCCTTCCCATCTTGAAGCTTCTTTGTTGTTTTTTGAGACAGCGTTTCCCAGTAGTTATGGAGCCAGTCCTGGAACCAGATTGGCCTCGAACTTACAGAGATCCGTCTGCCTCTGCCTCCTAAGTGCTGGGACTAAAGGCGTGCACCACCACCACCCAGCTTCTTTTTTTTCCTTCTGTGGTGCTGAGTATGGAATCAAGAGACCTGTTCATGTTAGACAAGCTGTGACTATACAGTAACCTTACCTGCACCTACTCACCTGCTGTAACAGGGTCTTGCTGTATTACCTAGGCTGTCCGGGATGCCATCTTTCCGTCTCTTCCAGATTTTGGTCACCATACCCCGGACTCAAAGGATCACCCCACTGTGTCCTCAAGTAGCTGTGACTATAGGGCTACCTGTTTTTTGTTTTAGTTTTTTTTCCTCCTGAGGGTCTTCCTGTGTAGCCTAGGCTAGCTTGGAATTCAGGGATCCTTTAGCACTGCTGGGATGCTAGGTGTGTACCGCCGTTCTTGGCTGGCTTTAAACTCCCACAATCCACTTTCTCACCCATACTGTTTTGGGATCATAATAGGCACCATGCTATGGGATTCTAAGAAAAAAAGTTCAGCCTGGAGAGATGGTTCAGTGCTTAAGATTTCTTGCTGCTCTTCCAGAGGATTCAAGCTCAGGTTCTAACACTCTCAGCTTGCTTACAACTACCTGTTAATTACAGCTTCAGAGGCCCAGCGCCCTCTTCTGTCCTCGTTGGGTATATCTGCACACATGGAACAGACATGTATAAACAGAAATGTAGAAATAATCTTAAAAAAATTAAGCTGGGTTTGGTAGTGTACACCTTTTTAGTCCTGGGACTTGAGAGGCAGTGGCAGGTTGATCTCTGTGAATTGAGGCCAGTTTGCTCCACAGAATAAGCTCCTAAAAGTATTTAAAATTTTTATTAAGAAATTCAGCCAGGGGCTAGAGACATGGCTCAGTGGTTAAAAGTACTGACTGCTCTTTCAGAGGACCCAGGTTCAATTCCCAGCACCCACATGGCAGCTCACAACTGTCTGCAACTCCAGGATCCACTTTCCTTACACAGACTTACATGCAGGCAAAACACCAATGCACACAAAATAAAAATAAATAAAATTAAAAAAAAGAAAAGATGGGGCTGGAGAGATGGCTCAGAGGTT